TGCTGTAAATCGAGGACTCTCTGCACTTTCCACAAATTCAGCAAAAGTGAAAGGTTAAAGACTCCTTATTGCTATTAATCATACCTCCATATTAGATGTAGGAGAGGCAGTTGAGTTTACCTGTTAAGGCAGGGGTTCCCGAACTTGGCAACTTTGAGACTTGTGGATTTCAACTCCCAGAATTCTCCAGCCAGCTATGCTGGCTGGAGAATTCTGGGAGTTGCAGTCCACAAGTCTTAAAGTTGTCAAGTTTGGAGACCTCTGTGTTAAGGCATCAGGCTAAAACCTGAGAGACTATGAGTTACAGTCCTGCCTTAGGCCTAAAGCCAGCTGAGTGACCTTCGGTCAATGACTCTTTCTTAGCCCTAGGATGGAAGCAAAGGCAAAAAACCTTGCCAACAAAACTGCAGCAACTTGTCCAGGTAGTCACTGAGAATCAGACATGACTGAAAAGAAGGGGGGAAGGAAATTCCAGACATGAGGATTTTAACTCCCAGAATTCTCCAACCAGCCTGCTGAGCTAACCAAGAAAACTGGAAATCAAAGTTCACATCACTTCAAGTTATCAACATTGAAAACTACAGGGACTTGTTCAGGCAGTTCTCAGGAGTCAAAACTGCCTTGAAAGTACTTGTGTGTGCACACATACACCCACACAACACACCACACACTGTGTTATTATCCTCCTACCTTCCTGAGATAGGAAAGAGCCCTATCTCAGGAAGGTAGAAGGATAATAACACAGTTAATCTGGATGCTAGCCATGTAGGAGTTTCAGGTTGGATTCATTCAACCGTTGGGCTAATACATGATTACTACTTGGTAGTTGGGTGTACTGTGCAAATCCTCTCCCCCCATTTCAAAAAAATCTGTTCACTGAGGAAAGAATGAACCAGAAGTACGGGTCTTTCTTGTGCAAACGTACCCTAAAAATAACAACCAAAATTTTGAATTGTTCCTGTAAACATGCTGCAAAATAAATAGTTCTTTCAAAATCCTGAATTACGTCTCAAATTTAATAGCACTCCCATGCACATTCAGAATATTGATGTCTACAAGGGCTTAATATATCTGCTTGGTATGGATGGAGCCCTGTTTCATTTATGGCTTATTCAGAAAGGCCAGTTTAGACTAAGGCAGGACATAAAAATATATTAATTTTAGAGAAATAATGATACCAGTTTTATAGATAGTGAAATATGTGGTATTAGCAAGAGAAAGAACAAGGAACTGTGAAATGCCAAACCACAAGGATAATCTATCAGTCACAAAGTCATATTTGTCAAGATACCTTGTCTTGCTTGTAACAAAAACCACAAGCTAAGGTGTTTAGCAGGATAGGTTTGTGACATCCAGCCATCCTAGCCTAGCAACAGGGGATGGGGAAAGCTGCGTTTAAAGTAACCAAGGAATGACTGACAAGTTATATTTGTGTTTTGCTCCTTCTGAAGAAGCATATAGGCATGTGCTGTTCAATAAGAAAGTTGTTCAGAAGTGACTCTCGCTAAAATACTCTGAACCTGTTTGCGCAAATAAAACCAACTTATTTTTGGATTCCAAGGTCTGAGTCTCATAATTTCCTGCAACAAGACAAATACAGCTTAAGATGCTGCAACAACTCAGAACTATCCAGAGTATACAGGGTGTGCATAAGCCTGCTACTGCAGTTTAGCATGCTTACTTCGCATGGATGACATGTGCTGTCTACATCCAAAAAAAAGACCTCATCATTTCTTCTATTGTTCTGGATTATGACAGGAAACTTTCTTTTCTACATTAAAAACATCATTAAAAAGATACTGGTAAGTCGGATACGATTGCTCGTCACTGCATCCATGTAGTTTTCCTGGCAGAGTTACCGTATAAGTAAATTGGTTGTCACAGCCTTTGTAGGGCCATTTTCCCACTCTACCTCACAGAATTCCCACTTGTATTCCTCATTCATATATTAATTAAACCCACCCCTGCTCAGCTCTGAAAAATTGCCAAGGCTGCCATAGGGACTGCCATTTGTGGAGGCTTTTATATAAGGCAATCCTCATTTAACAATACTTTTCTGACAGTTTGAAGTCACAATGGCATTGAAAAGTAACTTTAAAACCATTGCAGTATCTCCGCAATCACATAACTGAAATTCCGTCACTTCGCAACCGGTCAGAGGAATTTATGACTGTTGCAGAATTCATATGCTCACAATGTGCATGCTTCCTAGCCTGCTATCTAACAAGCAGAGTTAACGGTGCAGCTGGCAATAAAACAGAAAGTCATGGTCCCAGGATGTTCCACTTAACAACTGTGGTGATAATTTTAATGATTGTGGAAGTGGAGTTGTAAGCTTGTTGCTGTCCTGTGATGTTTCACTTAATGACTGTGTTGCCCACGGACAGAGTTGCTGGTCCCAACTGTAGTTGCTAAGCAAGGACTACCTGTTACCTATGCCATATCATATAAAGAAAACAATGACAGATTTTACCATGTGAAGTATTTGGGTGCTTCGTGGTCTCATTCTTCTACTATTTTACTCCTGTTTTGTTTACACGCTTTTCATTTCTTCCTTTTTATTGTTGTATGCCGCCTAGAGTAGCTCCTTAGTGAGAGGTAAATAAATTGCTGTTCTTTCTGTTTCTCGTAGGGCTGAAACAAAACATCGCTACACCGCTAGGCTAAAATGTAGAAATAAACCACATAAAAATAGTTGGTGCAAAAACAGTGGCTGAATTTCCCCCCTTTTGGAAAATGAACAAGATTTAAATTGAGCAGCTTAATGCCTATAAACATTGAAGGCACCGGTGTCAAATTCACAGCATTACATTGCCGTCATGTGACATTTCACAACATTTTTCCCATTCACAGAGCTGTGCTATGCCATGGGTTTTTTAAGCCTAAAGCAGGACTAGAACTGACAGACTTGGGGGGTTTCTAGACTAGCACCTTAACCCCTACACCAAACTAACTCTCTGACTATACACTGAATTCTAAAAGTTTGATGCTAATGCTTTGCATGACCTTGATCCAAATAATTATGGGTTGAAGCTATCTAATCACGCAAGCATATTAAAGGAAGTAGCATCTTATCAGGTTTCTGTAATACATCTACAGAACCTGACTAATCTTAAAATTGTAATTATACCTCATTCCAAGTGACAGAACTCCTTTGTGAAAGCAACTATCCATCTGTGCTATGGATACTATCTGGCTAGGTGACTTTTCTTGATCATAAATTTCCATAAATATGTAACAGAGTTCTTTGCAGGGGGGAGGGGTTAACATAAGGCAAGTGGCAGTTGGGACAGAGTTGTTTTCAGGTGGGGAGGGGGAGTACAGGGGTGGTATTCACAGGCTTCGGACCAATTCAGGCGAACCTCTAGGGAAAATTTTAAGTGGCTCATAGAACCGGTAGGGAAAATTTTGACTGGTCCCACCCACCGGCCCCCGCTCTTACCTCTCACCTCCCCTCTTTCCTATATTCTATTATTAGCTCAGCTGATTCACACGGTCAAGTGGATTGCCGCACCTCAGCTGAGCTAAGAAACAGCTGATGGTCGGTGTTTGTGTGATTTGCGCACACACACTTGGTTCTGGCTCCTAGGTAATTGCAGGGAGGCCTCCTAGGCCCAAAATGGGGTGCAGCGCCCCCCCCCCCCCAGTGCTCCGTTTTTGCTTCCAGGAGACTGCAGGGAGGCTTACTAGGCTCAAAAAGGGGCGCAGGGAGGTTGCAGCAAAAAAAAGAAAGAGAAAGGAGGGATGGGAGAAATAAAGAAAGAAAGAAAGAAAGAAAGAAAGAAAGGAGAACGAAAGAAAAAGAAAGAGAAAGAAAAAGAAAGAAAGAAAGAAAGAAAGAAAGAAAGAAAGAAAGAAAGAAAGAAAGAAAGAAAGAAAGAAAGAAAGAAAGAAAGAGGAAGGTAGGGTAGGGAAGGGAGAAATAAAGAAAGGGAGGGAAGGGAGAAAGAGGAAGGGAAGGGAATGTGAATGAGATATATATGGATGGATGGATGAGGGCGGGAGGGAGAGGAAAAGGAGAGGAAGGAAGGACTACAAACCTGGCACTAGATGCAGGTTCAGAGGATGCTTTGAAACAGCACAGCAATCCAGGGCTGGAAGGGACCTCGGAGGTCATCTAGTCCAACCCCCTGCTCCAAAAGAATTGTTAAAATGAGTTTCTCTCTTTTGATCTACCCAGTCACATGACCACATAGCCACGCCCATCAAGCCACGCCCACAGACCTGTAGTAAAAAAAATTGAATCCCATCACTGGGGGAGTACAACGTCTAACTTCTTAGTATCAGAGCATGTTAGTTATACTGTATAAGAAATACTGATGGTCATTTCAAAAAAAATCCTTTCTTAATGAGCACCTAGAAGCCAAAAGGAACATACGGGCCAAATTTCAAGTTTGTAGGCTTTGCAGTTCTGGAGATTTCGTGATGAGTGGTATTTGGCGTGAGTGAGTGAGTGAGTGAGTGAGTGAGTGAGTGAGTGAGTGTGTGTGTGTGTGTGTGTACACGTACACACACAAACCCATACTCCCACAATTTGTGTCCTAGCTTTTTAATAAAATGTACACACACAGGGTGTCAACTTAAATAGCACGATTTTTAAATTACATAAAGTTACAGCACAATTTAAAGCTAGACGCAGTCTAATGGGTGTATACAATCGCTGCCGCTCTCGCTTCATTCTTTTCTAATTGCACGATTGGTATTTAGATATAGAAAAATAATCTGCATCCTGGCTATTTCCATAATTCGCTGGAAAAAAATGAGCGAAGGCTTCCAGCCCCTTGAACGAGCGCCGGGCTTCTGAGAAAGCCTCCGATGAACTCGAACTACAACTCCCAGAATTCCTTATCGTTGATCTTATTGGCCGAGTCCGCTGGAAGTTATCGTTCAGCAACTTCGGAAGTGCCATGTTGAACTGCGTCAAGTCTCTTTACCGTTTGGAGGGAAAAGAAACTACAAGTCCCAGAAGCCATCTGGGCCCCCACATCCGTTTCACCCCTGGTCTTCTCTCGGCTTTAAGGCTGATGCCAAAATGGCTGGAGCCAGCCTCGGGTCCAGAAATAACATCCCCGATTATGAGACGGTGGATCTGAACACTCGGGCGTTCCACGTGGGCGCTTTCGGGGCCCTTTGGAAGGAGTCGCTCCGCCAGGAAGACGTGTCTCTCCAGCAGGAAGAACCTGCGGACGACGAGGCGGCGGTGATGGAGGATTTTCTCTGCACGCCGGAGATCGCGGCAGAGCTGAAAGCTGTGTGCAGGTAGCTCACATGCCGCTTCCTGGCTAACTGTGTCGAGTTGCGATTTTGAGACCTACAGTTTAAATCTCATCACTTGAATGCCTTTTGTTTTGATCTCAGTTTTACAATAGGAGTGGAGTAGAGTAGAGTAGAATAGAATAGAATAGAATAGAATTCTTTATTGGCCAAGTGTGATTGTTCACACAAGGAATTTGTCTTTGGTGCATAAGTTCTCAGGGTACATAAAAGCTATAGGTGATAAATAATGATCATAGTCATAAAAACATTCATCATAAATCATAACAACACTTAGTGATAGTCATAGGAGACTAAATAAGCCATCAAAATCATACTAGGAAACTAAATAAAACAATATAAATCGTAAAGAACAAACCTATCCTCAGTTGCAGTTCATCGACACATTCCTGCTTCCTTGTGTGCTCCATCCGTCCATCCATCATATTTGTTTGGCCGACAATCTCACAAATGTGACTCTGGAAACATAAAATAACAATAAAAACATTCCACAATTAAAATGTTAATAATATTATTAAAAGGCCAAGAGAAAGCATTAGATGTTATAAGCAAGGTAGTTACCTCATTAAATCACAATTTCCTTTAGACTCCAACAGTCAAGTTTTGAGGAACATCAAAGATGGGGGACAATCTTCCTTCAAGGGAGATGATGCTCCACAAGATGGGTGTGGGTGACAAAAATATCCTACTAACCCTTTCTTGATCTCACATCTAATCCTGGTTGAGGAACAATGAAAAAATCAAGACAATCAAAGCTGCCCCTAAAACACTCATATGGCAGCTGAAGATCATCCCATTCTAGGGCATATTGACCCAGGCAGGTTTGCTGTGGGGTCACCCATCATACCTGGCTGCAGGTTGTCCATCTCTGTAACTGTTTGTGCTGTGGTACCAAAGAGACCAAACTCCTTAGCAGGGCAGCCAATTCCTTGCATACTTTTAGGCAATATACTTAGATCTTGTAGAATGTGGATCTTACAGAAGATAGAGGATTACAGTAAAATCTTCACAGGATTGCTGTAGCTACCCTAACATCAAAAAGTTAATGTTCTTATGACAAAAACTTTTAAAACTCTTTGTGATTTCAGTCTCTGTCACAAGATGAGATTCCATGTGAACTGGGAAATTGCTGCAAAGGGTTTTCAAGTAATCTTTGAGTAGCTTCTCCAGCAAAGCAGGGGCCGGTTGTAGCAGAACTTGAGGGCAGTACTGGAAAAATATAGACCTTGATCTATCTAAAAGCTTTACCCCAAGTCTGATCTGGAACAAAATAGGAAATCTGGTCCCAAGTATCTTAAAGTTACCAAATTTGAGAAACACTTGGAACATAAGAGAGATGGCAGATGAATGAGCAGGGAAGACCTGAAGTACAGATGGTCCTTGACTTGAAATCATTCATTTAATGGCCGTTTGCAGTCACAGTGGCACCGAAAAAAAGTGACTTATGACCAGTTTTCACACTTACAACCGTTGCAGCATCCCCATGGTCATGTGATCAAAATTTGGGCCCTTGACAACTGGGATGTATTTATGATAGTTGCACTGTCTCAGGGATGTGTAACCACCATTTGTAATCTTCCCATTTGACTTCTGACAAGCAAAGTCCGTAGGGAAGCCAGATTCAGTTAAAAACTGCATGATTCACGTAACAACTATAGTGATTTGCTTAACAGTTGTGGCAAAAAAGGGTCATGAAATGAGGCACTACTCAATAAACAACTGTCTTGCTTAGTAGTAACAGAAGTTTTGTGGTTGTAAGCCGAAGACTACCAATACAGTTAGTCTTCAACTTACGACTACAATGGAGCCCAAAATTTCTGTTGTTAAGTGAGGCATTTGTTAAGTGAGTTTTGCCCCATTTTATGACATTTCTTGCCACAGTCATTAAGTGAATCATTGCAATTGATAATGAGTAACCTGGTTGTTCAGTGAATCTGGCTTCCCCCATTGACTTTGCTTGTCAGAAGGTCACAAAAGATGATCCCTGAATCTTGGGACCCAGCAGTGGTCATAAATATGAACCAGTTGCCAAGCATCTGAATTTTGATCACATGATCATGAGGATGCTGGAAAGGTCATAACAGTGAAAAATGGTCATTGTTCACTTTTTTCAGTGCCGTTGTAACTTTGGTCTCTACTCTTAATTCCAACATTAAGTAAACATACTGTTGTTGATTGGGGAAGGGACAGTGCGGACATGGGTGTTTCCTTATAGGAAGAGTAGTAGCTTAGAGCAGGGGTCTCCAACCTTGGCAACTTTAAGCCTGGAGGACTTCAACTCCCAAAGCTGGCTGGGGAATTCTGGGAGTTGAAGTCCTCCAGGCTTAAAGTTGCCAAGGTTGGAGACCCCTGGCTTAGAGGGAAGTAGTTCTGACAGAGAAGTATTGCAGAAAGCCAATGGAGGCAAAGAATAAACAATGAGCTTCTATGTACATTTAATAGAGTAGTATGAACCTCATTAACGGCAAGAGTGACAGTATCATAGAACTGAAACGAACTATCTTTAAAGATACATTGGAGAAGAACCTGCTTGAAATCTAAATCCTGCCCAACTGCACATTCAATGACATCGGCTGGTAGTTGGTTTTCCAACTACCAAATGACAAACCTCCCCTACCCCATATCCCTGAAAGTAACCTATATTACTATCTGGGGAAGCACTAATGCTAGCAGCCGTGTTGGAAAGGTATGATCAAAAATACTGTTTTATATCAATATATTTCCACCCTCTCAAAGCCTGTTGATTTCATAGATGTTATTTATGCAGGGTTTTTTTTTTTTAGAAGTAGTATGAAAGTGTTTTGTCTTTTACCTTTTTGTAAAATGTTTTTTGAAAAGCCTTCCACCTTGATATTCCCTGGTAGTTTTCCCATCCAAACCCATTCTGCTTAATTTCCAAGTTCAGACAAGATTGGCCCCTTGAGTTCTCTCCTCACTTAATTGAGTCCTATTAAATTCAGGAACTAATGTTTTTTTCATAGATCTGCGGGTCCTAATTATACTTTCAGCCTGCTCAGGTATATATTTGCTTAGAACTAAGCCTCTCTGAGATTAATGGAGAACTATAACACAAAGAGTCGATAAGGATTTAATGGCACAGATTCAGTCAATTAATAAAACTGTAGTAAAAATGGAATTGTAGCTTCCCTCAAATGTACTTAGGATACATTATGGACCAGTTATTATTGTCTACTGGGCTTTGTCATTGACTACTGAAACTTCTGATGAAGACGGAAATAGATTCCAAGTCCTGGGTTTGAGGGGTGATAGGGATGCTGTCAGTCCTTGAATTCTTCTAACTGTTCAGCTTCCCTCTGGAATTGCAGCCTTGGTGTTTGTCCTTATCCACTGCAGCAAAAATGTATACTGTATCAAAGAAAAAAGAACAATAATTGGATTCCTATTCCGTCTTTCGTTCAGGTGCTTTCAAAGTTGTGGAGACAATGTCCTCTATCCCCTATTTTTCCATATAGCTACAACCCTGTGAGATTTGGATGAGAGAGTGATGGATCCCAACCCACCACAGTGATCATCTGAGCGTAATGCTTCTCTTTTTGATAGGAATGCTATCAAAGAGGGAATGGGAATGGAGTAGAGTAGAGTAAAAATCGAATTGAATCGAATCCTTTATTGGCCAAGGAATTTGTCTCCAGTGTATAAGCTCTCAGTGTATTTATAAATAACAAAGTGATAGGTCCTATATCATAGAACATAGTTACAATCATTAATCATAATATACAACAACGTGATAAATCATAGATACCAATAAGAGAGGGGACAGTAGGAAAGATGAGAAGGATAATATCAATACAGCCTACTACATGGCTAAATATATTTAGGCTTAGGACAGTGCTGTGAGAATTTGGCATTCAGCAGAACGATGGCACAGGAGGAAAAAAACTCTTTGAATCTAATTGTTTTGGCATGCAGTGCGCTATAGTGGCATTCAGAGGGGAGAAATTGAAACAGTTTATGTCCAGGATGTGAGGGGGGTCTGTAGATATTTTCTCAGCCCTCTTTCTGGTTCGTGCAGTGTACAGATACTCAATGGAAGGCAGGCTGGTTGCAGTCCTAACTATCCTTTGAAGTCTGTACCTGTCCTGTTTGGTTGCTGTGCCAAACCAGACAGTTATTGAGATACAAATGACAGAGTCAATGATTCCTCTAAATATCAAACATGTGGATGTCAACTCTATGGGTGCACTGTGACCTCTGGGTGTCTTCTTCCTTTCCACACAAACATACACTGAGTCCTTTAAAACAGGGGTCTCCAACCTTGGCAACTTTAGGCCTGGAGGACTTCACCTCCCAGAATTCCACAGCCAGCTTGCTGTGGAAGGTTGGCCAAGGTTGGAGACCCCTGCTTTAGAATAACATTATGCTACGTGTGAGCCTGTATTTTGGCACCCCACTGTAAAATGAAATGCAAATAGTTCAACTGACCAAGTCAGATATTACAATTTACAAATCTTTACTAACAGGTTTTGCAAGGCAGTTTCTATTTTGGCTATTTCTAGAAAATTACTCTGGTCAGACATGGTATGAAGCGAGTAGAAGGAAAGGCCTTTATTTTGAAGGAGATCAACTCTTGTGTCTTTTAAAATAGAATCTCTACATCTGGCTTTTGTTTATAACAAGACATTTCTCCTGACATTTCTAGTTTTTATATTTATATATATTTTATTGCAGCCAAAGATGTGGGAAAAGATAATGTACGTCATTAAGCTGATGGTTGGGGTCATGGGAAAACTTCAAAACACATTAAGAGTGAGGCAGATTTGGAGCTGCTAGTTTTTATCTCAACACCATATTTCTTAATACAGGAATGGTTGATTTTTTTACTAACAGAAACAGGAAATAGTAACTAGTTTTACTAACAAAGGCTGTTCTTCTATACAAAATCAGTACTGGCCCTAGAAGTTACCAGTAGTCAAAAAATATTTTGTCTGATATTGTACGTTTCTGTATTATAGAACTGTTATTTAAGCATAAAAGACCACTTATCTTTCAGATGAGTAACAGCTACCAGGAATTGGAAGCTGATATTAATAATAAATGGTTGGCTTCTTCATTCCAATTATGAAAAATAGTCTTTTTTTAACCAATGGCTGAAGTCTAGACTTGATTCATAGTCTATGAATAGATTCTATTTGCTGAACCGTGGTAACAGGCTTCAATTCTGTGGGTTCAGTTCAACCCACTAAGCCATAAATATACATAAACCACAATAGCTAGTTGATTGAACACACTAATTAAAAAAAAAACCTGATTACATTGTGTTTTACTATAATCTGAATCCAGCCATACTGTTTATGCTTCTAAAAGAGGAGCTTAGAACAGCGTTAGCTGTCTGGTCCGAAAAACTTTCTTGGCAATTGTTTAACTTTACTTCCTACATGTAGCTGTATGTTTCTGTATGTTTTTATATATTTACAAGTTAGCTTTTTGTACAGTTATAGAATTATTTTTTGTATTGTTTTTAGCATTTCTGCACTGAAGAGCTCTGATAAAGAAGATACAGAAGTGATACCCGAAGATACCAACTTAATAACTCTTAAGTATATATATTGAATTATATTTTCAGTTGCAATTCTGATTAGTTGGAAGATTGTTCTAATCTAATCCATAAGTAATTTTAAGAACAGTTTATGAACTAAGACAATGAGCAGATAGCTACAATATGCCAAACCAAAGCAGATAAACTATGATGGCTTAATTCTGTTAGTTTGCCTGATTACATACTGCTAGCATAGACTTTAGATCAGGGGTGTCCAACCTTGGCAACTTTAAGACTTGTGGACTTCAACTCCCAGAATTCCTCAGCCAGCAAAGCTGAGGAATTCTGGGAGTTGAAGTCCACAAGTCTTAAAGTTGCCAAGGTTGGACACCCCTGCTTTAGATCATTATTCAGTACTAAATTTAAATTTAAACAAATTATCATAATTGCATTTTACTGTATGCTAACATGCAAAGAGATATTGTGTTTATCTCTGTAACACCTTAGCTGATCCTCTGTTTACAGGCCCTTTGGATAAAGCCAAATATTCTATTTACAACTCTTCCCAATAATTTTATGACCACATATTTGATTCCTGTAATGCCTCCATTATGCTGGATCCTTTACTGTATTCTTGAGGGGTTCTTTTTGCTAGCGCAAAGCTTGCTTGGGAAATCAATTTTGCATTCTTGCTATCGGATTAAATATGTTTCCTCAGCAGTTTGTAATTTATTAGGTCTTCATTAGGCTGACTCAGCAAGGGACACCTTTGGAATGTTGAATGCATGCCATTGGTGCTCTTTCAAACTGAGTTGTCTAATCACAAAAGAAGAGCCTTGGTCAATTATCAAATGCCCGTTTTGAGCACAGTTTTTGGCCTGTTTTGGGCCCATTTTTCAGCCCATTTTGAGCCTGTTTTTCAGCCTGTTCTGGGCCCATTTTTCAGCCTGTTCTGGGCCTGTTTTGTTCCCAGTTTTGGCAGGCAGTGCTGCTGGTGGCCATGGAGGATGAAAACGAGGTGCGGGGGACGCATGTGGCCCATTTTAGCCGCCAGAGGCACCACGGGTCAATCCCTTGATCTTTCCAGGCCGGCCCCATGGGCTGGATTTAAGCACACTATGGGCCGAATCCGGCCCACAAGCATTGAGTTTCACACTCCTGTATGTTGATTAAGTAGCTATCGGAAGATGGGTGCTTTTGTAGTTTGTTATTGCTTGCAGTTTTATGGTTTTACATTGTTTTTAAATTGTGATTTGAATTTTTTACAGTGCCTAAAGCCTCTAGAGCAGAGGTGTCCAACCTTAGCAACTTTAAGCATCTATGGACTTCAACTTCCAGAATCCGCCAGCAAGCCAACTCCCATGAATGCTGGAAATTGAAGCCCACAACTCTTAAAGTTGCCAAGTTTGGACACCCCTGCAAAACAAAGAACAAAGCAGTTTTATCAATTTTACAAATAAGGAAATGTCTAGTTAACAGCTATCCGGTTGCTCTGCATTGTTCAGTGGAGGGAAATTGGTGTTTCAGAAGATAAGAAAAACATGAAAATGTAACTACTATATAGAGAAGAGATGAAACATAAATGATGTCCGCTTGCCTATTGATTTTTTTCTTCTAATTATTTTCTGTAAAGTTCCCAATTGATCTTCTCTGACAGGCTGAGGCATTTGGGCCTGTCAAGTTAAACCAGTTATTTCTATTAGTAGTTCCAAAGAATGGGCTTATCAATATCGAATACCGAAATTGCATTAAAAGTTACTACTGCTCTTTAACTGTGATTAGCCTTCTTCAAATGGTGTATAGGTTAGTCTGTGACTTACAATAGTTCATTTAATTACTGTTCAAAGCCACAATGGCACAGAAAAAAGTGACTAATAACGTTTTTCATACTTAACAACTGTTGTAATATCCATGTAGTCACATGATCAAAATTCAGTCATGGTTGCCGTGTCCTGGGGTCCTGTCATCCTCTTTTGCATACTTCTGACAGGCAAAATCGATGGGGAAGCCAGATTCACTTAACAACCGTGGCATGAAAGGTCGTAACGTGGGACAAAATTCACTTAACAAATGTTTCACTTAACAAAAATTTTGAGCTCAATTGTGATCGTAAGTCGAGGACTAGCTGTATTTTCAGCCATCTTAGATCAGGGATAAGCGATGCAGAGTACACATATGCCTCCCTGCCACACACACACACACACCCAGGAAATTCTCCTCTTCCCCCATAGCGTCAACAGTCTTAATAATCAGATTGCAAGCTGCTAGACTAGACTGAAAAATAAAATATCAGCTTTTAACATTATGGATGCTTGCTAATTAAAGTAAAAGTACATTAGTTTTGGTGTCAGGGTTCCGACGGATGCCCTAATTCAACCATGAGCCAATTTCAAAAGAAGTACATTTATTTATTAGGAGCAACGTCTCGTCTCGGCATGTACCCGAGTGAAGTCAGCTCTGCCCCGTGTAATTTACGGCCCAACTTTGACCCTCTTTTCCCCCTCCTCCCCAGGATGTGTCATAAATCACATTCTCCAACACAGCACCTTATAAGGGCTGTAGAGATCATGCTTCTGGGATTCAGCTTTGAGAAAGGTATGCATGGTATGTGCCTCTGGTTGTGGCTGCCCTGCTGGTCTCCCCACTCTTGACCATGGCAACTCTACAGCAGGCCAGGAATGCTTTACGAGTTGACATTTGGTCATTGACCAGCTTTTATTTATTAATCGGTGACAGGCCCATGGACAAAGTTAAGGGGGAGAAAAAGGGGCAAAGCTAAGCATCAGGGGTCAGAAGGAGTGATTTGGAACAGTTTTCTGACCTGGCTTTCTGGTAAATGGATTTTGTCTGAGCATGTCTGCATGTTCTCAAAATCCCAAATGGCTGATCAAGATGGACTACTCCTGTATTAGACACTTTGCAGAACTGCCCAGGATCATCCCAGGTATCAAGAAGACACTACGTTGTGAAAGCATTTCTGTGTAATTGGTTCTTGCAGGGTGTAGTCAAAAAGCTCAAGATGGCAGCTGGTAGTAGTGTGGTGGTATGATTGGAGCTCCACCTGTTTTTGTTTTTAAATCCCAGATAAAAAACAGGCTGAGCTCTATTTGCATCATCCTGAACATGAGGTTGACTTATTTTGACCATATTCTGCAGATAGCTCGTATTGCATTGGAATCAAAAGTTGTTGAGTTCTAGCGTGGTGCTTAAATCTGGTTTTATAAGTTTGACTTAAAAGAGTATTAGACCCTACATTTGGATTTAGGGATTTAGTCCTTCACTTTCTTTCTTTATCCAAAAAAAAAAAAAAAAGGTTAAATCATGGCAAGTGGACCAACGTTTATTAAAACTGAGATGTTTCATTACTCATCCAAGTTCCTTCTTCAGTCAGATGAAAATTTTGGATAGGCTGAGAGTCAGAGAGGCGTTGGAATGAACCAACTCTTGCCATACTGACTGCAGGGGGTTTCTCCCCAAAATGAAAAGCATGTAAATGAAGACTCAATCATCCAGGCCAAAAGTATCTTAAAAAGAAAAGGTTAAATCATGGCAACTGGACCAACGTTTATTAAAACTGAGACGTTTACTTGGATGAGTAATTCTTTCTTCCTTCTCATTTGTAGAATTCGGCAGAAAGCTCTGGAGAGACGAGAAGAAACCATCCTTGTTGATCGTGCATGTAGACAAGAAACATTTATTCATGAGATGGTAATCCCTCCTTTCTCACCTGCTGTCCTTCCTCTGTATTATATATTGAAGTTATTCCAACTACACAATACTTATAGAATTTCAGATTTTTATATTCTAATCTCAAGAAAATTTTGCCCCGGTAACTGTCAGAGGGTGCCATTTGATGGAAGTGGCATAGCACATCTTAACCTTATGTCTTATTCGAAACCAGGTGTGACATTTTGGCAATTCAATTGGCAATCCATAGCCTAGGAATTTGACAGATTGTGTGGGAGGTAAATGCTGTGCTCTTTCGCTTGTTTATCTAGCATGCAAAGAACATTGGAATCGTTCCATTAAGGTGACTTGTACCATTCGCCTTGCTTGATCAAGGTCTACTTCAAACAGACTTACCCTGCTTTCCCAACAAACCTGGAAGATTGGGAACTGAGTGGAGCAAGTGGCCAGTTTTGTTTCTGGGTGTTACCATAAAAGAGGGCCTGACCTGGGGTGCTCACATTGCAGCCCTGGTCAAAAGGGCCCAGAAGAGATTATATTACTTGAGACTTCTCAGAAACCAACAACTGAATGAAAAACTGCTGGTGACCTTCTACCGCCGAACCATAGAGAGTATCTTAACTTACTGCACCTCTGTATGGTTTGCCAATTGCACAGTGGCAGATAGGAAAGCACTCCAGAGGGTTAATGTCATTGCCCAGAGGATCATTGGTTGCCCTCTCCCCTCTTTGGAAGAGCTTTATAACTCCAGCTACCTTAAGAAAGTTCAAAACATTCCATCTCATCCTGGGAACCTTTTTTTTGAACTATTACCATCTGGCAGACAGTACAGAATAATAAAAAGAAGGACAAATAGGCTGAAAAACAGGTTGTATCCCAGGGCAGTAGCTCTGTTGAATTCTACTGTACAGTGCAGTGTTGGTGTGGTGTCGGGTGGGTTTCGGTTCAGTGTGTGGAGGGTAAAGGATGTGTGTTTGTGTTTATTTTCATGGTCATGATGCACACTGAAGATGGTGTTTGATTTCGTTGTATGAGTGCAATGACAATAAACTAAACTAAACAGTGGATAGAATATCTATGCTGGTCTATTATCGGAAGCATCCGATTGACATGCCAATATATTTTTTTCTCTAGGAATCTCATGCAATTGGAAAAAGGCCCGAAGATCCTGGGAATATGATTGACGAAGCCGAACTTGTGTTAACCCTCAACATTTTTTATCCGGTTATATTTCAAAAGGTTGGTAATTGAGCTTAGCATCTGTTTTAATGTCTTCTTAACAAATAGATCAATTTATTCCCAGAAATCTTGAGTAAAGAATTATAGCCTGCTGATGTGTGGTCCTTTGGCAACATGACAAAGTAGAATCTACTTTTCTGCAGAAAGATTTCAAAACACAAAGATTTCAAAAAGAAAAGTAATTCCAACTTTGGCTAGATTCCACTTAATTAGGGAACGTTCTAATCCTTCCAGAATTGTCTTAGAAGATGAACTAAAAGTGCTTTTTTCAGGAGGAACTGGACTTTCTTGTTTTCCTTTCATCCAGGAAGCTTCTTCAGCCTTGGTTGGATGGTGGGGACAGCTGGTCATTTGCATTCTTTTAGAGAGTCATTGAGGCCGTTTGGAGATTTATTTGTGTCTTCAGGGTCACCCAAATGAGTATGGAGCCTTCTTGGCTGCAGGTCCATTTTTTGGCCGTTTTGAGGTCAAGGGGACTCTTACTTAAAACCCTGTTGCCAATCAGTATAGGAACCCTATTGAAATTTCTGCACCAATGATCTGATTCTGTTACTACATCACACATCACACTAAGCTAGAGTTTATATAACCGTGGGTTGTTGAATACAATTACAGTTGAATAGAGTTTGCTTAGCTAAAGCCAAATGAAGAACAATATGTCAGGAACCAGCCTATAGAAAGTTTGTGTTGTTTGCACCCCATTGTCCTAGATTTGGATTGCAAAAATCCAGATGATTGCTAGACCAGCTACCCTGGATTTGGGCAGTGCAGATCTGATAGCCTTCACGACATAAATCCCACATGTCGTAACTCTCCAACTTGGATGATATTTACTCTTGATATCTTGGAAGGAACAGCCCAAGGCAAGGGCCTTACTATTTATTATACATTTAGATATGGAGAAGTAATGATAAAGTTGACTGGTTACATTTCTTGCAACTGGCTGATTATCTGGTTTCATACTAAACCACAACTACACAATGAATTAACCTGATGTGTAAATTCACCCTGTCAGAAATGTTTTGATCTTCTGCCGTTTATTCATCTTCTTTTGCCGTCTCTATTTTACAGCATAAGCTTCGGAAGCCGTATCAGACGCTGTTGGTTCTAGGGAGTCAAAAACTTACCGAGCTTCGAGATTGCATTTCTTGTGTTAGTGACCTTCAGATTGGTGGGGAGTTCAGCAATAATCCTGCTCAGGCCCCAGAAAATATCAGCAAGGTATCATGTCACCGATTTCTAACGCATTTCCAAAGAGAGCAGTTTAATTCCAAAACAGTTTCTTAAAGTTCGAATAATTGATCCCTTGAAAATATGCTGATCAATTCCTGGGGGGAAAAACAAACGAGGTTGTTGCTACAGTGTTTTCTTAATTTGAGCAAGTAATAAGTAGATGAATTTAATGTAAGTAAGAACTAAGTGGGATTTTTTATATTTTTAAGTCAGCCTTTTTATTTTTCTGGTTTATTTATGAATTACAGTTTTAGATTACTCAATATCTAGAAATTCTGAGGAAAGTGCCCAAGGAAATTAAAAATGTAAAAAACAAACCTAAGCATTATGCCAGCATAATAAATTAAAATGACATGGGAAAAGACTGCTGCATATCTAAGATCGGAGAAAGAGGGAGGGAAAGAGAGGGTTTATTACAGGTTTTTAATTAGTCAGGCCGACTTGATCCTTGTTATCTATCTGTGAGGAATTTTTGAAAAGGAACAGTTTTTCTTTTTAAAAAATTATCCATTGCTTTGATATTTCTTTTATGTTGAAAGTATTTAAACATTAAATATCTTCAATATAAAACTTTAATATATTTATTTAATGTAAAACTTAATGTAAAATTTCATATTTCTTGAATATAAAACTTATTTTTACAAAAAAGAATCAATCATAATTTTGTTGAATTAAAAACAATACTGGTAGATTTGAAATCTATAAAACACTTCTTATAAGGTGGTTTGCTTGGAAGGTGGTTTTTGAGGCATTGGTCTGCCAGCTTCTGATTTTCTCTCAAAGCAGGACAGTACGCTATTTCTTTCTTGCTTTGTAGCTGGAAATCTGTCTTAGTCTCTTTTGTGGTAGAATGTAGTCTGGATTCCCAGAAGGGAGGGGCTACATTCGAGAGGGCAAAGAGGCAGCAAAGTTTGGTTGAGAGAACGAGCGTTAAGAAGTCTCCTCTCTGAGGATTCCCAGAGTATATCCATAGCAAGAGTGGGCAATTAATTTTACCAAGGGGCCATATGAGCAAGTGTGACTCTTGTAGATCAGGGGTCCCCAACCACCGGGCCGCGGACCGGTACCGGTCTGTGGAACATTTCCTACCGGGCCGCCGGTTTGCTGGGCACCGCCATCTTGTTTGACGAGAAAGTGCTTCCGGGTGAGCTTTTCCGGTTGGAAAGTGGCGTTTGGGTCCTGAAGGAATCCTCGCGCCTTAGTTTCATCGAAGGGGGGGGCTTTGAACAAAACTAAGGCGCGAGAATTCTTTCAGCACCCAAGGCAGGGTGAGCCGAGCGACCGTCCCGAAGCTGACCCAAAGTGAAGCCCATCGACAAAGGTACAAAGGAGGAGTTGAAGGTGGCGGGGAGAAGCGGGGGATGGCTGGCTGGCCGGTCGCTCGGCTCGCCTTGCCTTGTCATGCGTGCTGATGCCGGTACCGGGCCACGGATCATTTTGTGATGCCGGTACCGGGCCGTGGCACAAAAAAGGTTGGGGGCCACTGTTGTAGATGGTTGTCGCCACACTGCCACCGACAGTATTGCTGCCCTGCCCCTTGCTGCTACTGCGCTGACATCCCACCCTTCAACATTGCCACACTGCCCCGATGCTGCATTGATGCCTGGTGTTCAATGCTCCTACAGGCTAGATTAGGGGCCACCCACTGAGGAGATCTGGCCCACAAGCTGTAAAGTGCCCAGATTTGATTTATTCTGATGCGGATCGTTGCGTTAGTTTGGCAAGATTTCCAATCTATAGATCAGGAACAATAAAGAAAACTACTCAGCAGGAACTCCACCCGTCTGTCTTGGTTCTTGGGGCCTGACACTTTTAAGGGGGTGTGACAGTTGTAAGGTAAGGGTCAGGTCAAAAGGAGACCATCTATTAGAAGCAAATATTTTTCCACTCAAGTCTGGATCAGAGATTTCCAGAAGGCAAGTAATAGTTAAGAGCAAGAAAGACACCCCCCCCTCCTCTTGTCTTGTCTTGCAGCCCCCTTTAGCAAAAGGAATGGACTCTTCCTGCTCCATGGAGCGCAACCCGCATTATCTTGATGCATTTTATAGAGCAAGGGGGTCAAACTCGCAGTGTCATGTGACGTATTGCCTCTTTTCCCCTTTGCTATATGGTCATGGGTGTGGCATCTGGCCTGTGGGCCATGAGTTTGACAGCCCCGCTATAGAAGCTTCTATAGAGTCTTGTTTTTTTCTTAAAATGCATTCAGCTATTGCTATAAAGCTGGCTACTGGACACATTCATAATGTGATGCAGTGATGAGTTTGGTTGGCATTTCAAACATTTAACTGGAGCTCATGGAGATGTGATATCACCCATATATGTAAGCCTGTGTATTCTAATTAGCAAACTAATATTCCTCATCTTTCTTTCTTTCCCCCAGGATCTCTACAAGTCTGCCTTCTTTTACTTTGAAGGTGTTTTTTATAATGATAGCAGGTATGCAGAATGCAGAGATCTGAGCAGGTAAAGTATAACTGACATTTGTGAACCCCAGTCTTACTAACCTAGACTGCCTCTCCATCAAGTTAATGATATAGTTGAATTTATTGATTTAAGAAGATACATATTTCCATGTTAGTTAGCATCTTGATGCTGACTTCACCGATGACAGGTAAACGGAGGAGAGTAGACAAAAAGGACAATTAGTAGAAGGAAACTGCCCTTTTACCAACCCAGATCTCTTGATTTTTGGAGCTTGACCCCTGGAGACAGGGCTTTTTAAATGATGGGACTTGGATTGCAGAGCAGAATTTGGAAGCAGGCGGATTAAGCATTGCTCTTTTGCCCATTCATTTTATTGTCCAAATGCTCTTCAGCGCGTGCTTTATTTTTTCTCCAAAACAATTTCTAATTCTAGTTCTCAGCCTTTGGTTTCCAAATATTGGTGCGTTGTGGTAGCCAGAAGTTTTGAGAATTATCACCGGACATCTGCAGTCTTCCAATTGGAATTTGCTGCATGTCTAAAGGCATTGCAAGTTGCCTCCTGACTCTTGGACAGGGTTCCTCTTACTAAAATTGTGGGGATCCCACTATCCTTTGTATAAGTTCTGTCTGATCACGTTATCTCTCCTCTTAAGGCAGCAGTATCAACGCTGTCACTGTATCACGTTTTTTCTGCCTGATCTGTTTGTAGTTCCCATGGATCACACTCAAGGGCAGGGACATCGAAACTCAAGGCCCATGGGCCAGATTCAGCCTGTTGGGGTGCTCAGATTTGGCCCGCAGGACCATCCTGGAAACAGCAAAAGACCCAGCCCATGGTGCCTCTGCCAATGAAAACAGAGCTTGGAAGGCCACATGCAGCCCTCCCAGGCTCCATTTTCAGCTGGGGTAGCCTCCTGCAGCCCTCTGCCAGCAAAAACACAGCCCAAGGGAGCGTCCCCCTGAGCTCCACTTTTGAGGGATGCGGGAGGCCATCATGGCCGAAAACAGGGTCCCAGAGTCACACCCACACCCACCCCAAGCTCCATTTTGCTGGCAGAAGGCCAAGTCCACCCTGTCCCAGCCATGCCCCCCAGCCTCCCCGAGGTCATACACAACCCTGATGTGCCCCTCAATGAAATCTAGTTTGATACCGCTACACTAGGGTTTAATTCAGGGGTGTCCAACCTTGACAACTTTAAGACTTGTGGACTTCAACTCCCAGAATTCCTCAGCCAGCAAAGCTGGCTGAGG